TTGATATATTGTGCTGCAAATTTAAGTTCTTTGATTCCTTGTCGTTTGATGAGCAGGTGGCGCATTTCGTCGCAGCTCTCGTGAGCCAAAATACAGGATCGAATTCCATTCTGAAGACTCACCTTTTCATCCTGTAAGCTAATACTTATATTTTTAATATATCCATTGTTTTTACTTGTATTTGTTGTTTAACTTTCGCATTATAAGATTTTTGTTGTTTTAACTTTCACATATATAAGATTTGATGCCAGTTTTTTTAGTAAGTATATTTCTTGACTTATACTTTGTTTTATAAGTTTATCATCTCCAATTGATCGTGAAAATGCTCAATTTATTCAGGCTTCGAAATAGTTATTATATATCAATTTGTTTACAGTTTCCATTCCGAGATTGCACACTTTATGTACTTTAGAATAAGCGATGCATTAGACATTTGCTCCTTGCCAAACCATGCCTCGTATCTTATCATATAATGGACTCAGACAAATGATTCTGTCACTTATTTGTTCCACATTATGGATAAGATCTGTGTACTTGTCTGTGAATTTTTCACTTGTCACAGATACGTAGTATGCTTGATCTAATGATTGGGTGCGAATATTGCAGGATGATGGCCAGGAGTCTCTGGTTATGAATAACAATGGACAAAATTTTATATGCTACTTGCCTAAGGTGGAGGAGGCCAAGAGTGGGAAGCAAGTTCTTCTGCAGAATATTAGCAGCATGATTGTGGAAACTGAGAAACGAATTAAAATGAAGACACCGGATGAACTGCTTGAAGTACTCAAGGACCAATGCTTTATCAGAGTAAGATCCGTGACATTAATACTCTCGTTATCATAGTTATATAACTTATAAAACTGCAGTAATACATGTTTACCGTGCCCCCATTGGTTGATGATGCATTTACTGCGAACTACTCTAACATAACAAACTCCTTTATGCAGCAAGAGGGTTGGTGGTCATATGAATTTTGCTATCACAAGAGATTACGACAAATTCATGTGGAAGATGATAAGGTATGTGCCTCTTCAGTGCTCACATGCATACAATGAGAGGAAGTGGGATTATATACACTGAAAGTGTAAATAAGTTCCACATTTATCCAGTGATCTTGGCCTTTGATGTAGGGTTGGCACACAGTATTTGATGCATTTCCACAAGTCCCCCATCCTTGTAGTGGTTACAGTGGTATATGTAGTAGTTGTGCTACAGGAGCGGTGTCATTGTTCCATTTGTTACGTTGTTGACCTTTTCTTTTCCAATTCATTAGTGTTATTAACTTATTATCATCTTTTTAGATATTCTCATTTCTTGTTGGAACCTTTCAGAAAATTTAAAACCTCATAATAATACTCGTGGATTGGGTACTTTCTTCTCTTATTACAGGTGGTTCAGGAATTTGTTTTGGGTGTATATGATGCAGAGGCCACTGCTGGTGTCAACCGGAACCTCTCTGACATATCTACACTCAAAGATCCACGCTCAAAAGATGCATACCAAAGGTATGGAATTTGGCCTTTATAAAAATGTGTCGGGCAAGTTTGAGGGAAATTTTTCTGCGGATAAGAAAGGAGAGATTGAATACAATTTATGAAATTGTACGGCTCATGTAGGTACCATGCTCATCAATTTACAAACGGGACTACTTGTGATCTTACAGACCTGCAACGAGAGACTGAGGTATGACGTCAATATATTTCTGTAGTTTTTCATTTCCTTTCGCATTTCTCCATCCGGTCCTTACTTCATATGGCATTTTGTAGGTGAGATTTGTGTGCTCAGAGGGCAGAGCGATGATTAATTCAATCACAGAGGTATCCACATGCAAGTATGCAGTTACAATCCAATGCCCCACACTTTGCAAGCACCCGTGAGTCTCCTTCTCACCCTCCCTCCCCCGCTCCATCATGTTTCGTGGCGTGTGTTCTTTTGCGATGTATGTTACTACTAGCTCTAATGACTATGCGTTTTTCCCCAACAGAGCATTCCAATCAGAGAGACCAGTATGGCAGACCATTGATTGTAACGTGCTTCCCAAGGATTACAAGGAAACCAAAGCAGAGGAAGAATCTAATCCGGTTGCAGACGCAGATAGTGAAGATGCCGCTAATGAGGTTTCGGATGAGTAACATGTGTATTGATTCACTTAATCCTTTGTGAATAGCAGTAACAGGTTCATTGACATTCTTAATACATTTCCTATTGTAGTGAGTGTGGAGCCAAAAATAATACCAAACATCTAGAAGACGACACAGTGAATTTTTTTCATAAAAAGACAAAATTGTCCTCAATAAATGAGCAGGGCACACAAATATTCTCACATGCATTTAAACATCTGTGGATGCTTGAGTGGCTGGCTACGACTACACAAGCTACCAAGCTTGTGAGATGGAAAAGTCAAATGCATTAAAGATATGATCAAATTCTATCTTTAATACATTTCTGGTTGAAGATCAACTCAAAAAAGTAAGGAATCCTCATCACAGTCAATCAATGAAGGTGTTTATTGTTCTGTAATGGCCAACCTCCATCTCATGGGCACACGTGTGGCTTTGGCCTAGATTCAAGGTGTTTATTGTTTTGTAATGGCTTTGGCCTAAATTGAAGGTGTTTATTGTTTTGTAGGTGGAAATTTATTCAAACTGAAGACGGTAGTGAGTTTGAGGATTTAAACAAATTCGACTATTTGAGTAACTATTTGTGATGACCTTATAATTTGGCAATATTCGTACTGTATATGAAGTTTTTTCTTTATTACGAGTAATACTATTACTCTAAACTGCACTAGAAAAGAGAGAGAATTTGAATCATGAAAACACAAGGGAAATTATTCATTACTCGAGTTTTTAATCTTAATCTGAAGCAATATATCACGATTATCTTTTTTTTTCTCAAGAGTAAAAGTTTTTCTTTTTGTAAAGTAATGAAAGATTTTCTCATGCAATTAAATTTCAATTTTAATCGTGTCATCACCTAATAAACAATTTTCACTTTATAAAAATTGTCACTTAATAAACAATCGTCACATGATAAACATGTTACATGAGAGAATCTAGCAAAGTACCCTTAACCTATATGGGATTTGTCCAAATTCTAAATGTAGCAAAACCAAGTGGCCATTGAAAAAGGTCCACTTTAGAAAATGTTGTTTTTGGAAGGACCAAAAAGCAAGAAAAGGAAAAACACCATAGTAATCAGCAGTAATTATACCTCGCTAACGGTCACTTTCACACTGCGTGCCAACATCTGACTCGTTACTAATCAAACTCCCAAAGTCCCACCACCAATGGCTGCCGGCGGCGAAGTCGGCGGTACGGCCACGAGCACCACCAAAGGCAATGCCAGAAACAATAAACAAAGCCAAACCCACAGCAACAACAAAAAGGCCCTCAATCAACACCACCTCGTCGGCCTTGTAACCGCCGCCACGTCACTGGCTCACTCCTTCCTCTTCCAAAACGACCTCCTCCTCCTTCCTGCCCAAACCCTAACCCTTGAATCCCTCCTCTCCTCCGCCTCCACCTCCCTGTCCACCCTCCTCTGCTTCCCCAACCCACGACCGCAATCACCATTACGCCCACCGCCGCCGCCTTTAGAATGTTGGTTCAGCCGCTTCCTCTCCGCCACCGCCGCAGACGGAGACTTCGACTTCCGCTGGTCCCAAATCTTCCGCATGTCCGAACACTCCTTCTCCGTCCTCCTCTCCCTCCTCTCCCCATTTCTCAACTCCACAATCCCTTCAATCCCACCCAATTTCGTCCTCGCCGCCGCAATTTACCGCCTGGCCCACGGCGCGAGCTACAAGGCGGTCGGAAGGCGCTTCGGGCTCGACTCCATGGATGCCTGCCGCGCATTTTACTCCGTATGTAAGGCGGTGAACGATCAACTGGGGAACTTGTTCGAATTCCGGTCAGATATATCCCGGGTATTGGCGGCGTTCGGGTGGATTTCGCTGCCGAATTGCTGTGGGGTTTTAGGGTTTACGAGATTTGAGGTTGGTGGTGAATTGCTGGGGGCAAATGGGTCATTGCTGGTTCAGGCAGTGGTGGATTCTGAGGGGAGGTTTCTCGATGTCTCCGCCGGGTGGCCATCCACCATGAAACCAGAATCGATTTTCCGGCAGAGTAAGCTTTATTTGGGTGTGGAGGAGTCCAGGGAATTGCTCAGTGGTCCTGCTTTTGAGCTTGGGAATGGGAATTCCATTCCTCAGTACATACTGGGGGACTCTTGCTTCCCTCTATTGCCATGGCTTCTAACACCTTATGTAAGGTCGGATGAGGCGGATAGTTTCGGTTCAATGGAGAAGGCGTTTAATGCGGTGCATTATCGGGCAATGGGGTTGGTTGGGACAGCTTTTGGGAGGGTTCGGGCGCGGTGGCAGCTTTTGGCTAGGCAGTGGAAGGAAGAGTGTGCGGAGTTTCTGCCGTTTGTGGTGGTTACAGGGTGTCTGCTGCATAACTTTCTGATCAAGTGTAGCGAGCCGATGCCAAATGACAATGTGAGGGGCTTAAAGGAGGACGAGCTTCCTGTTTTTGATGGACAAGTGAACGAGAGTGGCGAGCGGATGAGGGATGTCCTCGCCATGCACTTGAGCCGGGTAAGCCTCAGAAGATGAATTCTTTTGTTGCCTTGTAGTTGCTCTTAGTTGCTATGATCGATTAGCGGTGCATTAGGTTTTCGCAGAGAATTTTTTGGATCAGTTGGATTATTGATATGGTCTGCTTTCACTGCCTTTATGCATGTATTTTTGTGTGTAAATAGCCAATGAAGACCATCAATGTCAAGACATTGAATGCGTTTCCTTTCCTCAATCAAATTTCGTTCCGTATACTGGTTTCTTATGCTAGTATAGGTTATGATATTCGGATTAGATTTTGCATTTCTATTGTTGTCTTTGATGCTAAGTATCTGTGATGATATGCGTATCAGTTGCGCAAAATCGGCACCATTAGCACAAAATATTGGTACACAAATTAACAAAGATATCTGCACTTATGTATTAGTTTGAAGCGGTACTGGTTATGTAGGGTTACAAAAATTGGTAAGATCAGCCTGCTGTGATGTATAATCCTTCAATCACAAACCCAGCCAGATTTGCTAATTACATTTTTTCGGCTCCAACCCTAGATTAGAGCCGTAAACAACATTTAGTTGCGTGAGTTGAAGGTAATCCATGTATGATCTTAGAAACCAGAGCTGCAGTTGTTCTGACCAAAAGCTTTACTGGCACAGTTAAACCAGCAAGATAGGAGTCCCCTTATGCCTGTCTCTTGGGTTTCGCCTCCCCGTCTTTGTAAAACTCTTACGAACTCATTTGCGCTTAAATCTCCATCACCATTTGCATCGAATACATGGAATATTATGTCAAGCACATTGGTAGAAACAGAGATGCCACATACCTGTATAAATAGAAAGTGATCAAAGCATTAGCACAATAAGCTACTAGTTAATGATCAACGAAGCTACCTAGAAATGACAATGACAGATCAGATGAGTACTTGGGAAGCAGCTCTCTGGAGATCACTTTTCGTCAACACCCCGTTAACTTCTCCGTAACTGAAAAGGGCCAGAGAGAAGGACTGCAAGTTCTTACGGAGCTCCGCAAAATCTTTGAATTCCTTGTATGTGATTCTTACGTTCTTAAGACGTGTGTCGTTATCAATTTCGTCCACCCGATCAAGCAACTTGTTTATGTCACTGCTATCAGCAGATGCAACCAAGGAGAACGCGAAGTCTTTAGCCAATATGGTTCCTTTAGCTCCGAAGTCGTAGTGAGCAAACTCCAATCGCAAAATCTTTCAAATTCGAAAACGGAGGAAGAAAAAGAAACAGGAAAAGGATCAGCTGACAGAAAAAATAGTAGGACAAATTCACAACCCTAAGAAAAGATCGCATACTTCTTCGTGTAAATCCCGGAAAAACTGAACAAATCTTTCAAGTTTTAGATTTTTTTTGCCGTCTTTGCCGAAGAAGTACTCGAGTAGGCCTCCATCTTCGACAGAAACCTTGAGCCTGTGGCTATCCGTGTTTTGTTTGCTTTGAGATCGCATCAAGGACATGACTTTAATAAACTCCAGCTTATCAATGTCTCTGTGAATCACAAACGTAACAAGTTAAGTTTTCTACTAGCAGTACATTAAAATGAAAGATTTTTACAACTGAGAAGGCGATATCGATTTTAACCCACCCGCTGTTGTCGAGATCAAACATTTTAAACGCAATTGTAAAGCTCGATTCAGGGATGCTGAGGAGGTTGACGAAGAAGATGAACCTGATCATATCAAGAATGAACATGTATATGTTGTTTTAGATCTTAACGAATTTCAATTAGGCTAGAATCATTGTAGTATCAAGGTAAAAGTACTCACTCCGGAAAGGAAATCAGGCCATCGCCATCAGTGTCGAAAAGCATAAAGAATTTGGAAGGAGCGCACTGCTGCTCGCCGGGAACCTTCTCCCCTCTCAGAGACCCCACTCTAACGTGGGTTGATTCTGAGGGAGGAAATACAGGAACCATCGCTCTCATCAAATCTGCCGGCGTCATAAACGCCTCTCCGTTGGGGCTTTTAACCGATGCAAAGTAGTCGAATAGCTGAAAACCACAAGCACACAACACAAAACACAAGCATGTAGTGTTTGCAACCACGAAAATCATCAAGCAAACAAAATTACAACTTATAAAAAATAAATTTTCTGAGGAGTGCATGATCCGTACCTTCTCCGGAGGACTTTGATCTCGGAGCCGCTTTTCATACGTAAAGAATTTTCTTCTCCTATATGAAACTGAGACGACATCCATCAGGGTAAAACATAACAGAAACCTCGGAAAACACGATACACAGATAAGTTGAAGAAAACAATGAAACAAACAAGGTACCATCAAAGAGGGAAAACTGAGTTTTGTTTGTATCTTCGCCGATTGCAAATGCCGCCTCCTTGGGACAATTATCAGCGTAAGAAACGTAGGAATTTGGATCCAGAGAAGAAGAAGACCAATACGAAAACCCTAGACTGGTCCCGAGAATCAGAACCCCCGAAGAAACGGATCTCAGCAACAAATCCAAAGTTTTATCGGAGCCTGATCTACCGTTATGGCTACCACCATAGCCAAATCTGCCAACCGATGAGCTGAGTGAAGAGGAAGAAGAAGAAGATGGTGACGAAGCGACGGAGGAGGAGGGTTGCGATTTGTTGAATGGAGGACGAGAGCTGAGGCTTTTAACATCAGAAAGAAGCCGGTGGATGGACCCTGAGGATCCCCTCGAAGATGCCCGTGAAAACATACTATGAGTCTACGGTCTTTAGGGTTAGGGTTTCTGACGTATATGGCGAGCTAGTTGAAGTTTAGAGGCGAAAAAATACAGAGAATTAAATTAAAGGGGTGATAGAGATTTTTCTTGTCAAATTTGGAAGCAGTGGAGATTATAACTAGGAGAGGGTGAGAGGGTGAGAGGGAGAGAGGATGGTACGGAATCGGGTACGCCTTTGGAGCGGGAAAAGTGGTTGGCACTTCTAGGGTTTTGACTGAACCTGATTGTAACGGTTTTTTCAAAAGTTAGTTAGTGGCTTGGGTCTATTTGCGTCTTCTCAGTCGATTTTCCACACTTAGATTGATCAGATGGGTTACAAATTCATACGAGTTAGAATTTTTCGAAAACACAAGGATGAAAGAACATAAATTGAAAATATAACAGATCTAACGAATACAATTTCATACATTGACTTAAATAGAAAATTAAAGATTCTAAGTAACTCTAAATATTCTGTAATATTCCCAAAACGTAACAGGAAAGAAAGTACTCTTTATACACCTTGCCGAATATTGTTACGCTTGTATCCTACTCATGCTGTCCGAAAAATCTCAAATATCCGCCTTGCTTCCCTTTCTAACATCGTACTTAATGCTTAAGTTTGATGTTTCTCTCTTGGGTGATTTATTGCCAATTTCGAACCACTTTAGATAAATTAATTTATCCACTTTGGTCATCTCTTTTTTTTTTTTCCTACGTTATATTAATGTGTAAAAACTTGGTAAATTGATCAAAATACTAATTACAAAGTTTGGAAGAGTAAATTGTTTGTAGATGAACTCTAACTATCGTTCTACAACCATAAGCATATAATTCTTGTATGAGCCGTGGACTACAGTAAATGACTTCCATTGCCCAAAACTACAAGAGATATCGAGCACACGATTCGTTACACCAAATGTAATAATATAATCAATTGTCATTTAGTACTACAGTCTAGTATAGTATTCCTTTTCACTTGGTAAGTGAGAGGTCTCGGGTTCGATTATTGCCAAATACGAATTTGAATCACATTATTGCTAGCCTATTGTGAGACTTAGTCCACTTCTCCACCCTCTTAGTGTAAGACCATCTCCAAAGGAGATGTCAACTTTTAAACCTAAGATTTAAATTTGAAGGCTTGCGTGGCACTTTGACACCTTTTAATCTTTTACTCTCCAACCGATATTCAAATTTTAAATATAAAATAATAATTCATATATATTTTCTTTGCGTTGGGAATGAAAGGAACAAAAGGATAATGCTTTAAACCAACAAAAAATTTAATAAAAAGCATTTAAGAATTAATTAAAAAAATTTGAAGGTGCTGTCAAATTTGGCAGCAAAGGGGAGATATGTCAATTCATGTCATGCCACATCAGATTTGACTTCTCGGTTGGAAAACATTAATGCTGTCTTTTGTTACCGTTATTGCTAATTTGGACATTTTGACATCTCCTTTGGAGATGCTCTAAATAATATCAGTTGTTAAATACACACACACACACACACACACATATATATATATTGGTTGAAAACTTGAAGCAAAAAAAAAAATATCAACTAATTGCATTATGACAATTGGTGTATTGAATCATGTTCCTAATACTGCAAAATTTCTCCAAAACTACGTTACTCTTTGGCTTTATTTATTCTACGGGGATAAGAGGTAACGGTAGGTTGACAAGATTAAATGTGATTTAAAGAATGTTGCAGATTTGTAGTAGGTTATTAAGTCATATCACTTTTTTGGGAAGAAACATTATCACAATCTAGCAGGTAAAGCAGTTAATAGCAATGAATGGGACTAAATAAAGTTATTGGACCCGAAAACCTAAAGAGATTTTTCAATGTATTTGAAAAATTAATATATAACATACCATCCTGTACTCTAATCTCTCTAAAATCTACTGGCGTGTTAAACTTTGCCTTAATGATTTTCATCAAGTGGTAGTAGGTTACCCAATTCAATATCCAACTGCTCCCCTCAATTTTGGGCCCTATAACCTTATGCTGTAGCTCTGAGTTTTCATCAGTCATATTTAGTATTTACCTGCCCAATCTCACACTGTAATTTGGACTCGTGCTCTATATCATTAAACAAGTGATTACTAGAAGTCTAGAACTATTGAGTTTTTATGATTTAGGTTCTGTTTACTAAAACATATAGAATAATGAAGTATTTGACATAGGGCGGAGACGGGTTGAATCATGAACATGAGATTGGGAAGAGTAAGGAATAAAAATGAAATCACCTAAGAATTAATCGAGATAGCGACCAACCATCTAACGTCTAAACAGAATTTAAATTGCCCTAGACAGAGATTTTTGAAATCTAGATCACGAGGTCGTTTAGAGCTGCTCATCCCCAACTTCCAGGATATTGCTAATGTCACATCCAGTCCCAACAACCATCCAAATTTTCTAAGGCCCCATTATTTATCCACCACATTTAATTTTATTTATTTTCCTTCCCACTTTATCATTTTATATCATCATCTCCTTCTCGTATAAATGTATCACCACACACCAACATAACCCTTCAGGCCTCAGGCACATTTTAGCTTAAGCGAAGCTATGGACTGGTTCACATGGCTGTCAAAAACCGGCCTTGAACCGTCCCTCATCTACGACTACGGCGTTGTCTTTACGCGCAACCAGCTGCAGCTCGACGACGTGAGTTACTTCGACCACGAGTTCTTGCAGAGCATGGGAATATCTGTAGCCAAGCATAGGCTAGAGATACTCAAGGTTGCCAAGAAAGAAACCAGATTAGGGCACCCGAAGTCGCTTTCCCGGCTAAGTTGGGCGCTCATTCGGACCAAGAAGTGCTTCTCCAAGTACTTTAACAAGTTGGTTTTTCAGGAGGAGTCTTTCGACGGTAGGGGTGCAACTCCGGCAACACCAACTCGATATCAAGAGCATTGGAGAGGAGCTTTGTTGAGGAAGCACAAGAGTTGTAGTGAGGAGGTCAAGGATGAGAAGCCTATGGTTGTTAAGACTAGGAGTTTTGCACTTTCTGGGCCTTTGGATGGGAGAGTACAGGAGAGATTGATGGCTCATAATAATCCAACCTTAAAGCTATCTGGACCGTTGGATGGGAAGGTTCACGAGAGGTTAATGTACACAAATAGAAGCCCAAGGCTGACCGGTCCTTCAGTCGCAAGTTTGAGTCCCAAGTTATCTGGACCGTTGGATGGAAGAACGCATGAGAGGATCATGACCACAAACAAAAGTCCAAGATTTTCTGGGCAGTTGGAAGGGAGAGTTGTGAGCCCAAAGTTCTGCTCTCCTTATGAGAAGGAAAGGGAGGATGTTGATTATGATGATCATTCACTCTGGACTGCACTGTTTCAGGATCTGAAACCAACTTGAAGTTTGTGTTTGGTTGGTTTTGTCCTAACAAGAGAGAATATGCCATACAACCGGAGACATATCTGTGCTTCGGTTACACAAAGGGATGTGCCGCGATAACATGACAAGATATATGTTCATTTTTTTGTGTGTTCCTACAAGTTTGATGGTTTTTCTACAGTGTATTACTTTCTTCTGCATCCTCTTGTGTTTTTAGATGGGAATGGAAAGCCCTAAATATATTTACTGGTTGATTTGATTTGCCCATCAGTTAGTTGTAATATCTTGAAACGTTATATGTTTTCAACGGGGAAAAGAAGGGAAGTGATTTCCGCTCCTCTCTTTTTTCTTGGGCAAAATAAGAAAGTGTGCAGTAAGAGAAAATAGGTGTAAGTAAATCATTTCCCAGAAAAAAGTACTAGCTTTACAGAAAGCTTTCACGATTCTGCTTCAGCAACACATCAACACTGATATACACAATTACTCAAAAACCTACTCTTTCTGATGATTGAAAGCTATAACGAAAATTTTGTAATCTGTCCCTATACGACATGTCCTTGTGAGACCGAACGAAGGAATCCGTTGTAGGTCTCCTAGTAGTCTCATTTATGCCGGAGGGCGGAGTGTTGAGGTAAATGGCAAAACTTTCTCCTCTTATTTACTGCTCGCACTGTGTTTTTGAATTGTATACAAACAACTTTGATGTAGATGGATTTGAGGAACTAAAACTTTTTACATACGTCTCAGATAGTTGATGTAGATGTATCGAGATACGCTTGAGTATGATGGCTCTCTAGACAGTTCAACTTGCGCTCGCCGCTCCTTGATCTTGTTGGTTTGTATCTGGAAGTACCCCGACGGAGGCCCCAGCGAAAAGATTTTGGTAAAAGGGCTTTATCCTTAAAGACAGAACGATGCTTAAGATGCTACCGACAAAACAGACAGCAGCGAGAACCAGGAAGGTGAGCCTAAAGCAATTCGGACCCACGCAGGAGACATTTGTCCCGTAGAGATGAATCCCCTGCTGCTTCGCTGCCTCGTTATCATATACGTACCCGGCTAGGAGGCCTGAAAAGAGTAGTGCACCCAGAGGATTCCCTAGTGCCATGAAATTGTAAAATGTGCCAATATCCTTCAAGCCAAAGAGTTCCGAGACAGTTGAGATCATGACAGAAAATTGGACACCGTAGCAGGCTCCAAGTATTCCCGTTGCAGGATAAAAGGTTGCGTTGATGGCAGAAGCAAACAGCAGATATGTGGCGAACATTATGATTTGAGTGCACGTCATCCAAACTGTCCGAGGGATTGTTTTCGACCTGCAAGGAGAAGAAGTTTCTCTGAATCAAAAGGACATCAATTTGGATTTACATTGAAGATAGATTAGCCAGGAGGATAATGTTACTGACCTGACAAAAAGTTCCGAAACAAATCCTCCCCCAAGACGACCAACAAAATTTCCAACACCGAAGAGAGACAGCAAGAATGTTGTGTCATCAAATCCTTGTGCAATCCCAATTTGGGCTAGATTATTGAGAACAGTTACCCCCGAGCCAACCCCGAAAAAGAAAACAAAGAATAGAAGCCAGAAGTCAGCCGTCACCACAGCTTCACTGAATTTGAAGTCTTCCCCTAGCTTTCTTTTTTCTTTCACTCCCCCCTCGCCCTCGGCAACAAGCAAAGGCACGTCCGATGAATCATTGCCTTCATTTAACCTACCTGAAGATCCAACCACGCCAGATGGCTCCAGTAGTGGTTCAGTTATGCCTGCAGTGCCTTCTTCATCGTTCAAACTACCTGGAGATCGAACCACGCCAGATGGCTCCAGCAGCGGTTCAGTTATGTCTGCAGTGCCGCCTTCATCGTTCAAACTACCTGGAGATCCAACCGCTTGACCAAGCATTCCCAATTCGCCGGCTGGTGTGGGATACAATGTCATTTTAACGGGAATTGCGAGTGGGGCCATGAGAAGTAGAACCATTACAACGAAAAGAGTGTTGGTAATTGGAGCACTTAAGGAAATGTTATCATCCAATATTGCAGTTGAGAGAACATAGAATCCAAGCACCAAGCTTGAAATTTGGATGAAATCTAAGCGGCCACACTCTGCAGGGTCTTCATTTGGAGCCGGAGTACAAGGCCGCACAAAAAACATGCTAGCGAAACACAGAACGGGAATTCCAAGTGCAAGGAACAGCAGAAGCCTGGAAGAGGAATTACCAAGCAGAACACGATAAATTTCTGTAAATACAGCTGCGCCAAGACCTGCGTAACCTTTCAGAATACCAGCAACTATGCCACGCTGTAGAGGGAAGTTTTTGATGTTGGTTACAATCACAGCCGTGGTAAACCAAGCACTACTATTAGCGGCAACACAAAGGGCAATCCATAGCTGCAATACCAGAACAAATTCATTAATGATTTAAGATCTTAATTGTTCGAAAATTTCTATATATATGGCATTTGCAGATAAACTATATCGGCACGCAATCATTTAATTGGATAAGCAAACCTCCAAAAGATAATTGAATGGAGAAATTGCTGCTTAATTAAATCTGAGTTGCTTAAATGGAACCAAGCAATAACCAATGCAACATCAAATTAAAGCACACCAATTTTAATCTATCAATTTATTGAAAAGCTTACGAAGAAGTAGCAGCATGTGAGTAATAGCATCATCAAAGCCGAATAAATTTCCAAATCACCAGCAGATGAATAATAGCATCGTCAAAGCCGAATAAATTTCCAAATCACCAGCAGATTACTCTTCAATTGTAATAGAAAAACATTTCACCGTCGATTAACTTCAGATTTGTCATAGTTTACTAATCAACATTGATATTGTCCCCAACTTACATATAATCACCTGCACAACACGGAAGGTGTGAGTTTTCTCACAAAATACCTCGATACTAGTAGAACCATTGTATTTTATGTTGTCAATTTCCGATACGCTACTTACATTCTTCAACAATATCTGTGCTGTTCATGTTCCAGAACAGAATAAAGTAACTCCTAGTGGTGTCAAAATTAAAACAATCCGGATGCAAAATCGCTCTATCAAACTCAAACATCACCAATCCTACAAAACCTTTCTTTAAAACAAACCCACCAAATCATATTTGCAAACAATCATATCAGCAACATGATATGCTCGAATTGTCGAAAAAGCATCAAAATTTCTACATGTTTATAGTAAAAACACTTTAGCATAAACGCTTATAAGCATGCAGAACTGCTTCTGTAAAAATCCCACTAAGTCAAATTTGCAAGAAAACAGATTTGGATCAAGGAAAGCTACACATTTTGAAGAACGAACAAGAAAAGCTACACATTTTGAAGAACGAACAAGAAAAGCTACAAATCTTCAAGAACAAGAAAAGATACACATTTTCAAGAACGAACAAGGAAAACCTGCACATTGTCAAGAAAAGCTACAAAATTTATAAACATCGGAAGGGAAGAAAACATACCATCCAGTAAGGCAGGGGCACAATGGTGCTGCTGACGGTGAGCCAGATGATGCCGTAGCCGAAGAAGCAGGCGAGAGCGCCGATCAAAAGAATTAGCCACGGCGGGTGCTTCTTGGAAAGGAATCCGGGGATAAGGCCGAAGTTCTCGCCGATATCGTTGGCCACACCCAGCATGGTGAGCTGCTTCTGGTTGAAACCCAGTACCGACTTCAGGGAGTGGGAGTAGAGCGGGAAAGTGAAGGCATTGCCGGCTGCAATTTGCACCCACACTGCCGCTCCTAGGCCGACCCACGGCCGTCGGGTGCCTGCTGCGAGTGCCGCCATTGGTGGTGGGTACAAGTAGCAAAAAGCTTCAGCTCAGAGGCAAGAAGGGGTACGAGTAGCGGAAGATGAAGGCGGTGATTAGTCTGTCTGAATGAAAATTCTGTTGGTGTAGTAAGTTATGAATTGGCATTTGCCATTTGGGTTTATATAACCGTTTTCGTCTTGACTTTCGTGCATGTGATATTTGTTTTTTCTTTTTCTTTTTCTTTTTTTGGATAAATTGCAAATATACCCCTTGAATTGTTAAAATGTGGACAAATATCGTATTATGAATTTTATCTCTTTCTTAATTTACTGCTCATATATCAATAGTGAATGTTAAATTCGTTGTAAAATAAACAATGTTTGCAGTGGAATATAAAATAAATAAGCACAATATTTACGATGTTGGACAATTGTACCTTTGGGGCATGAGCTGATAAACTTTATAGGTTCCTGCGGGTTCACCACCAATATTACCGATATGGTTCTAATGTAACCACCAATTACTAAGTGTTGCGTTTTATCGCATAATGCTTCAATAATATTAGGGCTGGAAACTCCCATATATAAATTGTATATTATTTGGTTATATGACCAATGCAGAATCCTATTCTCCAACAAGTGCTTTTATGAGTGGTCCCACACGGGATCACAAGCGAAACAAATTCCCACAGCGAGAGCTTATCAAGTTGTTATATTGAAGCTAACGTAACTTTTCGAGAGCCCGGTCATCATTTAGGGACTAAAGCCGACGTACTTTTCAAGGACCCATTCATTGAATATTCTTAATAAGCTGGAGTTAGCGAAACTTTTAAAAGCCCAACTTAAGGAGGCAATTTCGAGGCTAGTAAACTAGGCCCAATATGTGGTCTATGCAGGTCTATCTATCAATATCACTGATAATATCTTAACTTAACCACTTATTACTAATTATTAGCTTTTATCACAAAGGTCCAAGTAATATTAATTAGGGAGAGAAACTCCTATAATTAATTGAGATTATTTTGTCATATGAGTAATGCAGGGCCCTATTCTCCAACTACTCCAATAGTTTCTTTTATTATATTAGGAATACAAAGATAACTCCTATAATTACTTCTTTCTTTTGTTTGTGATATTTTGTTGAGTGTACAATGATGCAAATTCACCTCTTTATATAGAGGTTTTTCATCCGACAATTTATTAAAAAAAAAAAAAATGCTAATCTTATTTACAAAGTCTTCATGTGAACAGTAAAGACTTCAATTGTCATGCCCGGACTCGGGATCGAAGGAAAAATCGAACCCAAATATGGAACGCGAGCTAAACATTAAATAAATACAAGGAAACTGAAACGGGGTTAAAAATAAATTCATCTTACTAAAAACTACTCATTAATCTTTTATAGGGGCTAAAATAGATAAATACAAATGTTAGCCTCACATCTAATCCGATATCATCTTGACTACCCTTCGTTAGTCTTGTAGCGAACCTGCAAGGTCTAAAATGTTCATGGTGAGCGAACCCAAAACTCAATAGGGACACAAGTCTTATCAAGGATAATTGTCAAGCTAACCCAAGTGTCATGCTCACACAAATCAATTATATCATGTTGTCAAACATAAATTATATTCCATGAATGTAGCTTAACTTGAATTACCCAACCCGTTAATTTATATAATAAAACAAGTCAACCTGCACGTCCAATCTCATGCATTCTACCACTTGCATCGGTGGTCCGAAAGCTTTATTATATAAACTCACACCCGTAACTCTGTCATCCCAAATTTCCCATTTTGTTGGTCATCTTGTTCTTCTCTCAATCGCAAAGTCCTCACTACATCATACCATTCTTATAATTTCACTTTTACCACCCTTGCTGGTCCCTACGAGAGTTGAACTCAACCACACAAAATATAGTTCCATTTCCATAACTCAATCTCTGAATATACCAATAAAATTCATCTGCTCTGATATGAAATGATATATGCATATAATCAACATTATCACAACATCCACATTATCAAAAATAACAATAATATATCAGTTCCAATACAAAACAGTTATATCAGTTATAAACACATTAAGTATAACACATATTTCACAAAGCTTAAACAAGACAAATACCCAATAGTGATAAGTTCCCCAAGAAACCTCCTACCTCGATTCCAAAACTAAAGCGAAGATCCACATCACCACCGCTATAGCTAAACTCAATGTACTTGAACAAGCTTGTTGATCACTCCTAACGCCATGAATTTCTTCCACTCTCTTTTCTTTCTCTATATATATTATGCATGCAAGACTAGTGCATGCATGCAACGTGACTAAAGAGAGGGGTGGAGATATAATATGAATGGGATTGTATAGAATGGCTTACTATTTATAGGAAAAACTAAAATGAAGCGGTTACAACTATGCTTTGATTGTATAAACTGTGCGGCTCAACACATCTACTTATTCACCAAGTAATACATGCATTGTTGTGCTCCTTTCGACATGAAACATGTGACTAATGACTCTCGGGTTGGAGAGCCACGTGTACATACTAACCATTTGCATTAGAGTATTTGACAAGTGTCTCCAAGTGTCCAAGGCTAAGCATGGTGAGCTGCTGCTGGTTGAAAACCGACTTCAGCGAGTGGGAGTAGAGGGGGAAGCCGGCAGCCATTTGCACCCACACTGCCGCTCCTAGGTCGACACACGATGGCTGGGTGCCTGCTTCGAGTGTCGCCACTGGTGGTGGGTACAAGTAGCAAAAAGCTTCAGCTCAGCAGCAGCAAGAAGGGGTACCCGTAGCAGGAGGCGGTGAGAAGTTTGTCTGAATGAAATCTGTTGGTGTAGGAAGTTATGACTTGGCATTTTCCATTTGGGATTTTTATGTAACGGTTTTCGTCTCTTGACTTTGGAAAATTGCAAAAATGCCCCTAGAATTTTTAAAATGTTGACAAATATCGTGTATAATTTATTTTTCATAACATACGGCTCATAGTTAGTATATAGTGTGAATGTTAAATCTGTTGTGAGATAGACGAAGTGTGCAGTAGAATACAAAATAAACAAGTAAAATATTTACAAGGTTAGGCAAGTGTGCCCTTGGGGCAGCAGCTGATAAACTATATAAGTTCATTCAGATTCACCACCAATAGCACCGATATTGTACCAACTTAACCACCTATTACTAAGTGTTGGTTTTATTAAGAGTAAAAACTCTCATAAATAAATTGTATATTATTTTGTCATATGACCAATGCTGTATTCTATTCTTTAACAAATCCTCTCACGAGTGACCTCACACTGGATCACAAGGGAAACAAATTCTCATATCTAGAGTTTATCAAGTCGTTATACTAAAGCTAGTGTAACTTTTTGAGGTCCCACCATTCAATATCTTTAAGCTGGAGCTGGTGAAATTTTTAAAAGCCTAACTTAAAGAGGCAAATTCAAGGCCAATAAATCAAGGTCTAGATGTGTCAAAAAATAGTATGTTCTCATATCATGATAAACTTTATAGGTTCATGCAAGTCCATCCACCAATATTACCGATATTATTCCAATTAAACCACCTATTACTAATTATTGGCCTTCACAGAATGTATCACCACATAACAACGTAACCCCTCGGGCCTCGGGCACATTTTAGCTTAAGCTAAGCTGTGGACTGGTTCTCATGGTTGTCAAAAGCCGGCCTTAACCCTCCTCATCCAGCTCGGCGATGTGAGCTACTTCGACCACGAGTTCTTGCAGATCAGCATAGGAATATGTGTAGCCAAGCATAGGCTAGAAATACTCAAACTTGCCAAGAAAGAAACCAGATTTGGGCACCAGAAGTCGCTTTCCCGGCTAAGTTGGGCGCTCATTCGAACCAGAAGTGCTTATCCAAGTACTTCAACAAGTTGGTTTTTTAGGAGGAGTCTTTCGACGGTAGGGGTGCAACTCGGGCTGAGCCAACTCCACATTAAGAGCATTGGAGAGGAGCCTTGTTGAGGAAGCACAAGAGTTGTAGTGAGGAGGTCAAGGATGAGAAGCCAGTGGTTGGTAAGACTAGGAGCATTGCGCTTACTGAGCCGTTGGATGGGAGAGTAAAGGAGAGATTGATGGCTCATAATACACCAAGCTTGAAGCTATCTGGACCGTTGGATGGGAAGGTTCACGAGAGGTTAATGTACACAAATAGGAGCCCAGGGCCGACCGGTCCTTCGGTCGCAAGTTTGAGTCCCAAGTTATCTGGACCGTTGGATGGAACAACGCATGAGAGGATCATGACCACAAACGTCCAAGACTTTCTGGGCAGTTGGATGGGAGAGTTGTGAGCCCAAAGTTTTGGTCTCCTTATGAGAAGGAAGGGAGGATGTTGACCATGATGATCATTCACTCTGGACTGCACTGTTTCAGGATCTGAAACCAACTTGAAGTTTGTGGTTTGGTTGGTTTTGTCCTAACAAGAGAGAACATGTTGCACGACCGGAGACATATATGTTTGTTTCATCAGTTACACTATGGGTATTGTAAACACAAATGGACATACCTCAACGACGCAACGATATACATGTTCATTAATTTTTTTTTTTGTGTCCCTACAGGTTTGATGTTTTGACTCACCGTATTACTTTCTTCTGCATCCTCTCGTGTTTTTAGACGGGAATGGAGAGCCCTAAATATATTTACTGGTTGATTTGATTTGCCCGTCGTAATTTCTTGAAACATATGTGTTTTCAATGGGGTAAAAGAACGGAAGTGATTTCCCTTCTATCTCGGAGAATCAAAGGACAAATAAATAAAAGTAATTTCCACAACAAACTTGCAGGATTCTGCTTCGACAACACATCAACAGTAATTTCCACCCAACAAAATATTAAACACTACTACCATAGCTTTATTCGGCAGCTACGTTCATTCAATTACACAATTACTCTCACAACCAAGTCTTTCTCAGGATTGAAAGCTGCAACCAAATTTTTTAATTTGTCCCTATGAGGCACGTCCTCGTGAGGGCGAACGAAGGAACCCGTTATAGGTTTCGTACTCGTCATTGATGCCGGAGGGCGGAGTATAGTTCATAGGATACACTGGAGAGCTAAAGACTGCGTTTCAGAATTGTACAAACAACCTAGAGCCTCCACATGTGTTGATTCTTTGGTTCTGAGATGGATTTGAGAAACTAAAAACGAAACTCTTTACATGCGTCTCGGACTGTTGTAGTTGTATTGAGATATGCTTGAGTATGATGGCTCTCTAGACAGTTGAGCTCCCCCCGCCGCTCCTTGATCTTAATGGTTTGTATTTGGAAGTACCCTGAAGGAGCCCCCAGAGTAAAGCATTTGGTAAACAGGCTTTATCCTTAAAGACAGAACGATGCTTAAGATGGTACCGACGCCACAGACAGCAGCGAGAACCAGGAAGGTGAGCCTAAAGCAATTCGGACCCACGCAGGAGACATTTGTCCCGTAGAGATGAACCCCATGCTGCTTCGCTGCCTCGTTATCATATATGTACCCGGCTAGGAGGCCTGAAAAGAGCAGTGCACCTAGAGGATTCCCTAGTGACATGAAATTGTAAAATATGCCAAAATCCCTCAAGCCAAAGAGTTCCGAGACAGTTGGGATCATGACAGAAAATTGGACACCGTAGCAGATTCCAAGTAATGCAGTTGCAGGATAAAAGGTTGCGCTGATGGCAGAAGCAAACAGCAGATATGTGGCGATCATTATAATTTGAGTGCACGTCATCCAAACTGTCCGAGGGATTGTTTTCGACCTGCAAAGAGAAGAAGTTTCTCTAAATCAAAAGGACATCCATTTGGTTTGGATATATATATTGTAGATTAGGCACAAGGTAATGTTACTGACCTGACAAAATGTTCGGAAACAACTCCTCCCCCAAGACGACCAACAAAATTTCCAAAACTGAAGAGAGACAGCAAGACTGTTGTATCATGAAATCCTTGTGCAATCCCGATTTGGGCTAGATTATTGAGAACAGTTACCCCCGAACCAACCCCGAAAAAGTAAACAAAGAATAGAAGCCAGAAGTCAGCCTTCACCACAGCTTCACTAAATTTGAAGTCTTCCCCTCTTCTGGGCCGTCTCTTTCTTTTCACTGCCCCCTCGCCCTCAGCAAGAAGCAAAGCCACGTCAGATGAATCATAACCTTCATTTAAACTTCCCAGGCTCGCTGTCGATGAAGATGGCTTCATTAGTGGTTCAGTTTTGTCTGCAGTGCCTTCTTCATTGTTCAAACTACCTGAAGACCCAACCGCTTGACCAAGCATCCCCGATTTGCTGGTTCTTGTGGGATACAATGTCATTTTTACAGGGATTGCAAGTGGGGCCATGAGAAGTAGAACCATTATGACGACAAAAGTGTTGGTAATTGGGGCACTTAAGGAAATGGTATCATCCAATATTGTAGTTGAGAGAACGTATAATCCAAGCACAACGCTTGCAACTTGGATAAAAAGAAAGTTGCCACGCTCTGCAGGGTCTTCACTTGAAGCCGGAGTACAAGGCCACACAAAATACATCATAGCAAAACACAGAACAGGAATCCCAAGTGTAAGGAAGAGCAGAAGCCTGGAAGAGGAATTACGAAGCAGAACACTATAAACTTCTGTAAATACAGCTGCGCTGAGACCCCCGTAACCTTTCAGAATACCAGCAACTGTGCCACGCGTTAGAGGGAAGTTTCTCATGTTGGTTACAAGCACGGCCGTGGAAAACCAAGCATTACTATTAGTGGCAACACAAAGGGCAAGCCATAACTGCAATACCAGAGAAAAAAAATCATTAATTCTTTAAGATCTTAATTGTTGGAAAATTTCTATATATATGGCATTTGCAGATAAACTATATCGGCCCGCAATCATTTAATTGGATAAGCAAACCTCCACAAGATAATTAAATGGAGAAATTGCTGCTTAAATCTGAGTTTCTTAAATGAAACCAAGCAATAAGCAAGGCAATATCAAATTAAAGCACACCAATTTTAATCTATCAATTTATTCAAAAGCTTCCAAAAAAGTAGCAGCATGTGAGTAATAGCATCGTCAAAGCCGAATAAATTTCCAAATCACTAGCAGATTACTCTTCAATTGTAATAGAAAAACATTTCACCGTAGATCCTAAAATATGTCTTAAAATAAACCCACCAAATCAAATTTGCAAACAATCGGGATCAGCAACATGATATGCTCAAATTGTCAAAAAGCTTCAAAATTTCTACATGTTTATTACAAAAACACTTCTACCGTAAGCGCTTATAAGCAGAAGTGCTTCTGTAGAAACCCCACTAAGTCAAATTTGCAAGCAAACGGATTTGGATCAAGATATGCTCACATTTTCAATAAAAGGTACAAAATTTATAAAAATCGGAAGGAAAAAAAGCATACCAACCAGTATGGCAGAGGCTGAATGGTGCGGCTGACGGTGAGCCAGATGACGCCGTAGCCGGTGAAGCAGGCGAGAGCTCCGATCAAAAGAATTAGCCACGGAGGGAGCCTGTTGGAAGCGATGCCGGGGATAAGGCCAACGTTCTCGCCGATATCGTTGGCCACACCCAGCATGGTGAGCTGCTGCTGGTTGAAACCCAGAACCGACTTCAGGGAGTGGGAGTAGAGAGGGAAAGTGTAGGCATTGCCCGCTGCAATTTGCACCCACACCGCCGCTCCTAGGCCGACCCACGGCGGTCGGGTGCCTGCTTTGAGTGTCGGCATTGGTGGTGGGTAGAAGTAGCAAAAAGCTTCAGCTCAGAGGCAAGAAGAAAGGATACAAATAGCAGAAGAAGAAGGCGGTGATAAGTCTGTCCGAATGAAATCTGTTGGTGTAGGAAGTTATGACTCGGCATTTGCCATTTGGGATCTTTTCTTCATGTGATATTTTCTTTTTCTTTTTCTTTTTCTTTTTTGGATAAATTGCACAAATGCCGCTTGAATTGTTGAAATGTGGACAAATATCGTATATAAATTTATTTTTCATAATTTATGGCTCATACTTAGTATATAGTGTGAATGCATTAATAATGAAGTGTTGAATTTGTTGTGCACAGAAGATATGTGTGTAGTGAAATACAAATTAACTAAGTCATTATCTTTATGAGGTTTACCAAGTGTACTTATATTCTCAGGACAGTAGTTGTAGTTTCTTTTATTATATAAAATAATAGGAGTAACTCAATACTCTTCTCTCTTCTATCTAGTCTTGGGGTAGCTCGCTAGTACTTATCTTCTACATCTCTTGTCTTTCTTTTCTTGTTATAATTGGGTGTGTGTGCAATGATGCAAATTTACAGATTTTCGAATTGAGAGAGATCAAGAATTCTCACTTTTTATCTGACAATTTACAAAATTCAAGCTAACTTTATCCACTTTGCTTGGCTGCTGAACAATTAACAAGAATTTCTGCTAAATAACCATCTTGACTGCTCAGCAATTTGACAAATATTCACCTTTTAACTTACGTAATATTGAAAATACCATGAGCATCCACATTGGCTATTTAGCAGAAGTTCCTGCTATCGTTTAGCAGTTCTAACATTATTTACAAAATTAACGAAACAAAAGATATGGTAACTTTAGGACAGTTATTGTATGAGATCTATCCAATGTTAGATGCAGAGACACATAATAAATCGATAAAAACATTATGAGCTGCCTTGTAATAAAACTGATTCGTGTAAAAAGTTAAGACTTGTGAACAGTAATATTTCAATTATCTGCTTCAAATTCTTAAGTGGGCCATCCATCATATTTACAACAAAATCTTTTTTTTGTTTTTCTTTCCTTTTTTAAATTTTATTTTTCTCAGTTATTAGATAATTGAAAAAGAATTACGCAAGAGTTGGGTGGGCAATTGTGGCTGAGAATCAAGCGTCATTAATAATTGCCATTTGCAAGCAGGCAAAGTCTCTGCGGCCTTTCGCACGCCTCCGCACGTGACAAGGAGGATGCCCTTTGGAGCCACATCGCTTGATTAGTGGGCCCTCTTTGTGAATTGAGAGTCACATCACATCAGATCGTGCGGTCCAAAACCAATTTCCAAAAGCAAAATGAACAGGTGGGTCGCCGCTCGGAAAGTCCTAGGAAGCCACGTATTGGGAGCCGATGACTTTGAATTTTCTTAATTGCCGAAATCTGTGACATTATTTTTTTTCATAGTTTTTATACATATTTTTGTGAAGTTCAGCTTGTAATGTATTTAAAAAGTACGAACGGTTTGTTTTTTAGGTTTTCTTTCAAATATTATATTTAGCAAAAATCATCTAAAATTGAAATTATATGATCCAACCATGATGAGTTTAAAATTTTTTTATAGAATTGTATTCCTTCATTTTCTTCATTACAAAATGATTATCTTAATAGTTTTGGAATGATGATTTATCAATCAGGCATGATATATATTTTTGTTATGCTTAAGAATTATATGCCTGGTTATATTTGACAACTAGACAGTGTGCATTCTTGTATTAAATAAAATGATCTAAAATCGAATTTAGTTGCTGAACTAATTATAATCAAATATAAATAATGTATTAATAAAAATAGGGAATTGTTATTGACATTCTAAAAATCTCATTCTACACTTATCATAAGTGTATTTTTCTTTCCAAATATAGAAAGTTTAAAATGTAGAATGAGATGTTTAAAGTGCCGATAATAATTCTTTAAAAATATTATAACTATTAAATATTAACGACATCATAATCAAATATCTAAATTATTTACTTCATCAATTGATGTTTGAAAATTATTTGTTTTATATATATTTTCTAGTGTCAAGCCCTTCAAATCGCATGTCCAATTCCAATTTTCTTTGTTAAATAATCATATATTTTATAAATTTTCTTTGCATGTCCTTTTAGCATCTCTATATACTCGTTCTTTCGTTGACAAACACAATTTGTATGGTCTTATCACAATTATTAATGTTAATCTAGACAAATTAAGGACTCGTTGGGAAATGCTTATAAAATAAACTAAAACGCTTTTGTTGAAATTCTTTGGGTTCCAAAAGCACTTGAAATTCTTTTTACAAGAAGCAACATTTATATGCTTCTTCCAAGAAGCACTTTAAGTGCTTTTTCAGAATTTACTTACATTTTGTACTAAGGATTAGTTCTAAAAACATTTTCATCTAAAATGCTTTCAGTAATTTTGAAAGCACTATCAAACCAACCCTACTTCTTAATCTTCCCTTTTTTTTTAGAGCAGATGAACTCTCCTCACTGTACATTTGAATTTCAATTTTTTTTCTCGCAATTTAGATTAGTTAAGAGTTAAAAAATACTTTGTGTAAGAAAAAGAATGGAAAACAAAAAAAGGCCTGGGCCTGGCCACATGTAATGGGTGGCCCAATGGAGCATCATTGTGTTCTTGCTTCCGAGTACAAAAGCGTAAAAGAATGCAAACATGCTTTTAGCTCAAGCTGCCTTTGCATGATTCTATAATATATACCAGATCCATATTTTCTCCAAAGCAGTTGACAAGAGGGGTCAGCAAAACAAGAGATATAATAACCCCACATCGTTTTTCTGTACGGCATTTTTGTTGGGTTTTGTCCGTTGTTTCATATGACATTCAATTCGATAACAGAAAATAAAAAGAGGTGTACAAGACGAGAAAAATAGTAAGTGTTTATCATTTCTCCAAGGGTGATGTTGTCCATACACCTCTTGTTAATTTATGTTGTTGATCTTTTTTACTTTATTCTATCCGACGGTTGGAAATTAAGAAGGTTGTGTGGTTAGCAACTCCCTTCTTGAAAAGATAATGAAAGCATAGAAAGCGTAGTTGTGCTCTTTTTCTTTCTTTTTCTTTGGGTAATGGTGGAATGGGCTTTGAATCCGTTAAGAAGCCCATATTAGCTATCCTAAGGTGATTGGGCCTCTCCCCCCATTAATCTCTCGTACTAAAGTTGGCTCCAAGTTTCTCCATTTCACAGCAACTGTATATAGAAACGAACTGTCTCACAACATTCTGAATTAAAGTGTCATGTCACTTTTTTCTTTTGATAAACTATGACGCTAGTGAGTTAAATTATAAAATATTAGGAAGAGTAAAATCGTTAAAGATCGAACTTTACCATAATGCATAAGCATTATTATTTTCCACCACTGCAGTGAAACGCCATTTGGAACTAGCATGCCATCTCAATCGGCAAGTAACTAAACCCTTAGGACTGTCTTCAACTCCAGGATGCGATGAGCCGATATCGAGATGCCAAAACACTCCGTCGATAAGAGCTTTGGGGAGTCATAAGCTTGTTATCCTTTTAGTACCTCTATATATGAGAGTACTTGTCTCAAAGGAACAATCAAGCCAATGTGAGTAAGGGTAGGATAGTAGATCGTGACAATGCACCATCTTACATCCAAGTTCGAATTATTCTTTTTGTAAACTATACAATAGTTTAGATTATCTATTTATCTAGAAAAAAAAAATTGAATCATACTCAATTAGCGATGTGTAACGGTGCCATATAAAAATCGATGTTCCAATATTGAACAATGATAACTAAAACTTTTGAATCAATAATCCGATAAATGTTGTCCATCGCATGTAGGTCATGTCATTTCTAAAATTTTCCATCGCATATACAATATTTATTAAATCCTAATTAGTAAAGGATATATGTTGATGCACAAAATCAGATAGATTTTGGACCAACTTAGATTCGTTTGTAAAGCACAAAGCGCACAAGAATCCAATGATGTGTCGTGGTTCTTTCCAAGTTGAGACTACATCCATGTTGATGTAGATTCAGTTTTAGTATGTAAATATGGGTTACAATGTACATGGATGCGTTTTTGTCTTTGATAGAGTACAATGACTAGGGTTTAAAATGAGAGACTCCTTAAAGTGAGGGTGGGAGATCTCTTTGTACGATAAAGATTTTCCTCCTCTTTTACATACTTCATTGACTAAGTAGTGAAACCCAGACAGTGAGTCCTTGTGAGGCTATGATACAACAATATCCATTAGTAGATACACATAGGCCAGCCAAAGCATAGTATCACCAAAGGCAAATATATGTGTGAAGAAGCCAACATAAAATATAAACTACAAAGTAGCATCACCAGCTGTGCATGCATAGTGCATATTGCATATTGCAATTTACAAATAAATCCTCTTTCACGGGCCGGCAAGCGATTTGTTGTTTCTCACGACACACAAAGGTTCATTCTTTCCTCTCACAATAACACAACACAAACAACCAAAAGATGAAACAGAAAACCTTAAATCGGCTTATCTGAAAGAGACAAAACACAAATGACACTATGTGCATAGTAATGGATAAGTATTAGAGTTCAACAGTCTCATCGTCACGTGACACTAAGTCAATATTCTAGTCTCATGGCTAAAGAAATCACTCGTCATATATGATGTCCGATAAGATTTTATGTTTCATACTAATATTGTTATGTGGCATTATTATTTATGTTCAAGTTTTAGTCTCATGATAAGAGAACTTGTTCACGTATTTACTAAACTCACAGTAATACCATAAATAAGTTATTGAGTGTTACGATGACAACATAACTTGATAATATCTATTTACGTATCATGACATGAGCGGATAATAAAGTTGATAGTTAATGATTTAATTTAGCAACTTTCGCTACTTTACAGCATTGAACTGATATACAATTTCGAAATTCCCGTGACTAAAAAAACTGTCAAAATCGCAATCCTAAAAATTCTACAAGAACTTATCTTTAAGACTTTATCCTTATCCACCCCCACCATCCACTTTGAATTGTAGAGGCCAAATAACAAAACAAACAAATGTAACAAGACAGAACACCATCGATCGTCACCCCTCTACACCCAAAGGGGATGGTACATGCATGCACAATGAATGATGGGCTTTGTCATCACCCAAACCCTAACTACACACTTGGGCCCCACTGCACTTTGTATCACCATCTGGGCCCACATGACCGGCTGCCAGCTGCATCCACGTAATTAGGCTCATTATTTTAAAGTATTTTTGTGGGTATACATTTCATGTAAAAAATTATTATGCCTAATCTCTAGATACAAGCGATACTTATCGAGTCTTAACATGTAGTCTGATAATGATCTGATTTATTAATGAGTTCTGATAGATGATCCGATGTCAGTATGACTCGTTAATGAGTTATTCCGCACCTATTATCTTCGTATTGTTCGATATCGAATAACAAGTTATGTAAAAAATTATCAGACTTACCATCACATAATACAAGTCAAATTTGTTACAACTTTAATGGGATTTGAATCTGCAATTTTCCAATTATTGGAGACCCAATAACTCCATTGTCTGCTGCTTAACCCTTAAACGCCAATTTCGCCGAGTCAGCACGCATTCAGCAAATTAGAATTTCCAAATTTCAGAACTTCAAAGTTTCTTCCATCGTCGATCTTTTATGGGAAATTAGAACGTGGCATAGAATTGTTCTAGATCTCTCATTCTCTCCGCTTATTTTTCACTATTTTAATTGATTTGGGTTTTGTTTAAAAGTTTGGGTTGGAATCTGACGCGTAATGTCCAGTGTGTGTGCACCTAACACATACTAAAATGCAAAAAATATATTTCAATGCTACAAAAAATAATCATACGTATGTATATTGATATTATCTTTATTTCTAATAATTAACAGTTTAATTCATTAATGTTATCATTTATAAAAATTATACAAACAAGTTAAAAATAACAACAAAAAAAATTTATTTACTTATTTAAAATAAAAGAATTCGTCGATCAAAGGGCGAAAGCAGGAGAAAGAAATAAGCGGAGTCGGATCAATGGAGAAATCAAAAGTTAAGAATCATAACATTTTCATAATGATTATGATGTCATATGAAAGGAATTGACATGAATGACTGTCGTAACTCTAAATACCGAGGGGCCATGAACTTAAATAAGGAAAAGGATCCTAGGAATTCTGCAATTGTGTTCGTTCATCGTATATGATCATTTTTCGTTAAGTACTATTTGTATTTAAATTTTAAATAATTTATAATCGTATGATGTACGATGAACGAACAAAATTACTGGATTCCTAGGATCCTTAGAAAAAGAATTCGACGAGAATCCTTTTCCTTTAATTAACGCATCCTTTTCCTTTAAATAATTCATCTAAGTTGACTATTTACTTTACTGTCTCATTCCTAGGTCAAGATGCATAATTGACTGGATAATATAAGGATTTATCTGACAAGGTAAGTCGGCCTTTGGGGAAAGGGATCCTCTCCGAATCACTTTCATCAAATTCATTCAATCACAAAATTCAGATTCTTGAAATTTGATTCAACGGCTAAAATTATTATAACTTTTAAAGAAGCTCTTTATTGTAAGTGTTGGATCAAATTTTAATAATCCGAATTTGAGAATTAAATAAATTTGGTACAAAGAATTCGAAAATAATCCCTTTCCGTCTTTGGGTGACATCATCTTCACCAGCTCTCATCGCATACTAGGGACTTACCAACTCCATCCATGAAACAAAGTACTATGTATCATACCTCACAGGTTTTCGTTGCCTTTTTATTGGAGAAAAGCTTATATGGTACAAGCAAATCGTTGTAAATTTGCAAGTGGCGTCTTGTGCTGATATAATATAACACGTATGAATTTCATTGGCATGTTAGACAATATAATATTATGCTCGTATCGTTTACGTTGTTCTTTTGTAAAATTAAGAAATTCAAAGGTTAATTTTATATATAAAAATTGAGAAATTCGTTCGATTCAGTGCTGAAATGAAAAACCAGGTAGGGTTTGTCCCGGTATTAAAAGCCAGTGGGCGAACAAAAACCTGTTAAACTTTCCTTTTCGGAACCTTATCCTCCCCCGAGGGACCAAACTTAAGTTGCTTTCTTGGTTTCTAGCTTTATTGATGAATGCGGTACAGCAGCTGAAAATTCAAAACAGCTGTGCCAATGGGCTATGGGGCCTCCTCGGTTTGGCAGGATAGGGAATTTCATTTCTTACGAGAATTACTTACATGACACGGTTACAATGTTAAACGCCAAACGAGAAGAACCGTTTCATAAAAGCTTTTCTACACGGGACCACGGCCCTTCCTCTGTCTTTCAAATGTTGTTCCAAAGCAACTTGTTTGTTGGGTCTAGTCATCTCACACACGGAATTGAGATCCTTTTCGAAACTCTTATGTGCGAAGTTGCTAGACCTAAAAATCTAAAACATTCATTTAAAACCTTGCGGTACTCATGAGTTTTATTTCATTGATTCGCTTCACGCAAGCCAGAAGTCTGAAACTTTTTTTCTTTTCAATGGCCCGAATCTCTAGATCTTTAAACTCCGACTACATAAATTCAAAGAGAATCTCGACTCTCACAAATAGAGTCTCCCAATAATTAATTTCGTCATCAATGACTTTTTTTTCTTAATATTCCAAAATTAAAGGAGGAAGATTTTAAAAGTAGAACCGACTTGATTCCAATTAATTTTAAAAATCATATACAGCCATGAAAACAATACGAGTTTTAAGCAATAATCATTTTGGTATCTCTTAATGAAAAAAGGACGCGCGGGTCATAATCCATGATTAAGGTGGCTAATATTAATTAGCAATTCTTAATGTTTTGTTGAGTTGTTTCACATGCTACCCTCAGGTGCCCGGCACCAGCTGATAATTACAAGGAACTTGTAGCTCAATCGGAGACAAAGGCAGTTGTCCGTGTTTCGAGGAATATTATTCCCCCCTAATCCAATTGATTAAGAACATTCACCTTCCAAAAAAAATTCGCCCATTTATAGCAAATTTTGGTCTATCAATTAATTGTTTTATTCATATATTTTAGCAAATTTTGCATCAATTAATCAAATTTATAAAATTCCTTTAGTCCAATCCTTCCAAATTAGGGTTTCTAACTTTCTTAGCATTTCTAGCTTCAAACTTCTCAATCCCTCCAAAATTCAATTTCTCGACATTTGGTGTAAATCCAGGAGAAAAATATATACACCTGCACAAATAAGAAATAATAATTAATAAATAATATTAACAATCGAAACAATTAATCAACAACGAACTAACCTGGATAAACGGAGTGAACGGGACGAACGTACGGAGACGGATAAACGGAAGGCGTCAAAACTAACGGGGTACACACGCTGCTGATCACAGAACGGATAACAGTGAAACGGAGACGGTGAAGAATTGGACCGGAATGCGAATTCAAATTTTAACGAATGCGATCTTTTAATTTCAAATTGAATTTGGGGTGCTAAAGAAATTTGATGCTCATAAGGAAGGCTACTAAGGTCCCAGAAAGCTTGGAGTCGCCAACAAAAATGGCGCGCCAATCGATACATATTTGTGTACTTATATATACAGAGCGAGGGTCATAGCAGCTAAAGGTTTCATATGTAAATCCCCCTAGCTGTTGGAGCACTTCGGTCAACCCGTCGGTCAGATCACTCAGGCTTCGCCGGATCCAGACACGTCATCACCGCCGAGCGCCGCCTCACCTCGACGGCCGGAAAACTGAACAATTTGCAGAGGAAAGATAAAAAACACCAAATCCGACTCGATTGTTTTTTTAAATTTCAAAATTGTTTTCCGATTATTCGTTGGACTTAGACATGGTGGAGAGCCGGCTGGGGCGGGGACGGAAATCGGCTCTTCGCCTCTGGCTGTGGGAGGAGGGGCGGATCAGAGCGGACAAGGCGCGCCTCACGAGATCGCCTTCGACGCCGCCGATTCTCACGAGCGAGTTCGTCATCGCGGATCTGCGCGCGTTCAGTCGGTTCTGCGAGTAGGGCGCGGAGGCGGTGACGTGGGAGTTGTTCTTGTGGAGGCTGCACCGGAAGGAGCCGGGGTGCGTGGTTGGGGAACACATACAGGTGCGCTTCGGCTGACTGATATTCCGGCCGCTCTTGACGGCGGTGTGGTGGTGGTGGTGGGCGCCGGTGCCGCGCGGCGAGACGGAGATGGATCGGCTGGGGGAGGTCGGGCGGTCGAAGGAGAATCGTACGGACTGGGCGGAGGGGGCCGCGGTGGCGACGTTGAGGCGCGGGGGGGAAGCGGCGCGGTTGAAGAAGGTGGAGGAGCGGGAGGAGAAGCTGGAAGTGGAGGAGGCGAAGGCGAAGGCGGAAGCAGACGAGAACTGAGTGCTTTGAAACCTTCCGGCGGGTAGAGAGGAGCGAATGACTGGCCCGCAGGCGCTTGTGGATCTTCTAGAAGTAGCTGCCATGTTTGTTGATCAGGCTGAGGTTTTAGAGAGAGAGTAAGAAGAGTGGAGGGGGAGAGAGAGAGAGAGAGAGAGAGAGGATTATTTTTTTCTTGTAAGCTGCGTTTCGCTGCCCAATTGTTCAAACCTAGCTTAACTCGAGCTATGTATTTATAGCTGAACGGGGAGGAGAAAATGCTTCATCTCTCGCGATATTTTCCTTTCAATATTTCGATAGTTTTTATTAAATTCGCACATGTACCCCTATTTTTTTGGTTATTTGCTTTGTGGCACTACGACTGCCACGCGTGTTATTTATTGTAATTAATTTGTAATTTTTCGTTTCCATATAATGCTATGGATGCCACACAATTTTTAAGCGGTTCAGACATATGCAGTTAAGTTCAACAATATATTTGTTAACTATTGACTAATTAAAAAGAGAGTAACACATTTGGACACAATTTTTTTTGTCTATAACTATTGTATACAACACGATTCTTACGATGCTTGATTATATAATCAAACTGTCACAACTTTCATAATATTGTATGATATTTCAGGTTTACTACTAACGTTTATTCATTCTAACTTTCCCATAGAGAGAGTATGCAATTTAGAGAGGGCGACATTTACAGTGCCCCTTGCATAGATGGAAATAATTTAATTTATGTAATTCTCTACTGCAATTAATTAAGACTCGTTTAGAAATGCTTTTGAAATAACTGAAAACGTTTTTAGATAAATATTTTAGGGTTGAAAAGCACTTCAAGTGTCTTTTAAGGATTCACTTGCGTTTCTATCGAAGATTGTTCAATTAATATTTTTATCAAAAAAGCTTTTAATTATTTTGAAAGTACTTCTAAACGAGTTGTTAATTATTCATTTAAAGCTTTCGATGAAGTACAAAGTATCTCCTGATTTTAATTAGCCACATAAACAAAAGATTCCTTAAAGACGAAGGATACATTTGCAATAACAGGTCAAACACAAAAAAGTTTGGGGACCATTCAGCAAAAAGGTTTAACCTAACCAGAGTAAATAGCTGGGGTTTGGTTAGAATAAACAGGGTGCGCGCAGGTTAACAGATTTTCGTTCGACGGTTTGAATTACCAACGGTTTCGACGCCAAGCTATGGGCCGAAAGGCCCGCAGAGACGAAGTCACGCGCCAACCAATAAAATATGAAACGGCGAAAAAGGAACCGTTTTATCTGACAACTTGTCAGACCAGTCAAGCGGTCTCAGTCTCCCACGTAGTTCCGTCTTGACACGCGCGCGCGCCACCACGTTCCACGTACTTACTATCAGCCCCCCGTTTTGCTAAGAATTTATTTTTTATTTTTAAATAATTAAAAACGTGGCGGAGATATTCTCTGCGAAGATTAACAAATTAATTAGTTTGTCTAATACGGAGATTAGCGGGTAATTTGTTAATTCTTGATTTGAGGAATCTCCCGATATTATTTCGGATCTTATTTTGGAGAATAATTTTAATTCATGAGTTAGTTTAATTCTTGTTCTAGTTGGTGCTGGACACTCTTTTTCCTTCATTTTGGGTTTCACCCGAGAAGGTTTTTATTGAGACCTATTGTTAGCACCATATTTTCATTGTTTTTACGTTGTTCTCCTTATGAAATAAATATCGTACTTGATCTAAAAAAAAACTACATTGAATTCTATTTTTTTAATAAATGATAATGTTAGGGGAGAAAATACATAAACCAACCCACGTATTTGGGAAATGATGGTTAGGGACTTCATTTCCTTACCTATTGAGACGAGCTTAGTAAACCCGTTAATGGATCGAATTTTGATCTGAATTCGATGTGAATTTGATAATAACCAGGATATGAATTGGCGTTGTGGTTTTCCATATGATCTTTTTGAAAAAAAAGTGATGACATATATGCATCCTAGGTAATTATAGAGAAATCAAATTTTATAAACCAAATTACGTGACTGTCGATTATTGGATTGTTGCTTAAGTATTAATTAATGTGTTTATCACATATTACTGACACATTATTTGATCTCACTAACATTATCCATTTCATTCAAGACATGAAAAAACTAATTAGTACAAGGTAATGAAATACCCTCCACAAAAAGATTACTACTTACGGTAGTAGATTCATCAAACCAAGTACAATCGTCTTTGAGAGCAAAATGAGCTGGTCTATGAGCTAATGAGTATAAAGATTCCAAAATGAATTATAACTTATATGATTCAATAACGATTGAATCCAACTTAATGTAGCATATTATTTATTTTCTATATTTTTTCACTAATATTATAGCATATTGTTTTTATAAAATGGATTCGAATTTTGCATAATTAAAAGGAAGATATTTTGTTTCTTTGTTTTTTAATTTTGTTGAGATCTACAAAAAAAAGTGTTTATAGAAGATCATGTGATGTTTTTTATTATTCCCGAAACATGGAATCGATCTGGGGAGCCTGCAAATGGGAGAGAAGGTGTATGTGGCACACCTGCATTGTGGTGGGGTAACATATGGAGCTCTCACCATTCTTGCAGTTGCATACGATGCTTCTTGTCCTCACAATTGGTCTAAATTTTATACTAAACCCGTATTATTTAATCACGAATCTATGTAGTACTGTATGTGTTATAATAAAAATATATCTTACTTTTAAAGCCTATATTTGAGTGAAACAATAAAAATGCATGACTGTAACGGTTCTGCACACATTCTAGTGACTTCTATTATTGATTGACATATGTTAATTTATAAAAAACAAAGTTCATGAGGATTAAGTTTAATAATATGTGCCAATGAATGACAGAGACAACAGAGAGAACACATGCAAAATGGATGCAGAAGATTTGAATACAAAGGCACATTGGGACAAGGTGGTTCTAGGACTACCTGAAGGCTGGAAAAAATCATGTGAAAGCTTTCAGGGGACCCTCTAAAAGATTGAATGTATGGTACGCCTTTTGTACTTGCCTAGTGTTTGCTACAATCTCAAAGAACATCGGCTCTAATAATTCCGTCTCCGTCTACCAAAACAATCGGAAATGTTTTAAAAAAAGCAGGCATACAATGTACAAAAAGTTCGCACCTTTTTTTATCTCTAAAGATAGGATGTACTCTTTAGACCATAGGATCTCACAGTGTCAAAATAAGTTGATAACAAGATGTGGTGTCCAGTCAGATATGACTAGACATATATCAGTAGCATTTGATAAATTACGTCGACAACAATTGGCAAATGTTGCTCATATGCCCAAGAAATCAAATCGGTTGTTTGACAAAATCGTACAAAGATGTCGACATAATCGAACCGTCTAATTACAACAAATATGACAAAGTTGAAATCAAACAATGCAATTTGATAAAAAGAAAAAAAGAAATCAAATAATGGAAGTAGGAAAACGTTTTATGCACGAATGACTTCTGGAACGCATCGCATGCATGTCTTTTCACTTTTTATAATTACTTCTTTTTCTTTTATTGTCTTTTAGAAAATATTTTTTTTCTTTCTTTTTGCTTAGTTAATTTGCTTGTCGACATCACAAATAACTTACTAAACAATATTCATAATTACTATCTAAATATAATACGTGTTCTTTAGAAGTCTTTTCATTTCCATCTAATCAAATATATGTTGCTTTCTTGGTCCCAAAGGCCTGCTCATATTTCATTGGCCATCTTTTTTCTTTTTCTTTATTTATTATTCAATATTATCATCTCAATATGTGGATTTTAGAGGATAGAAGGAAGGTAAAAAGGATGGCCAAACCTTGACCGAGATTCACCAGTCTCCATGTTAAATGTTATTTTTCTTTTTTATTTACGGTTACAATTTTCAGAATTTTAATTAGTTTAGGAAATTATTCCATTATTATTTTTTAATCCATGCGGTGCTATTTAATTAGGCATGTGGAGCCACAAATGTGTCGTGCTAGGACATCAACATAATACTTAACGAAAAATAAACGGATGTAGGCCATTGATTCGAGGCATCCATATTCAAGGATTACATTTATTGATTTTCATTTTTAGATATCATGTTAATGGGATATGTCAATTTCAATGACCAATTATGATAAAAACCAGTATTATATTTTATTTTGTTAATTTAAGTATACATTTGTTGAAACTATGTAGTCCTCGTGTGCTTGTAACTTGGTCATAGTGAGCTCAAGCTGACACAAAAGTAGTTTATTAGATACATCTATATCTAGCAACAAAATTAGTAACATAATTACTTTGGTTTGTTGGTTTTACGTAAGGGTTTAGGTTAGAAACTTTACGTGCACTCTTCCGCAACTTTTTAGTTGTCACACATATAATAAGGTCTTAATTATTGAGAAATTAGTTAGTAATTAACAAGAAACTTTTCATGATGCTCAGAACAAGAGACAGTATGCCACATGACCATACAATTAGAGGGAAGTTTTTTTCGAGTATCCCTCCGATTGTATAATAATATGTAACCTATCGCTCTGTATTCCAGACACCCTAAAAAATCTCTTGTAATTACGAGTGAGTGAGGTGAAAAATCAAACTTATCGATCTCTCTAATGAAAATAACAAATGAAGATACTGTGGACGAACTAGAAAGAAGGACAAATTGTGTAAAAGCTTTTAAATCATGCATGTACGGTTGGTAGTGAGTCAATCATCGAACTTACGTTCTCTAGAATGTTGCACTAATGGTCATCTAACTTACGTTCTCTAGTATGTTGCACTAATATGGTCACCTAACTCCCAACTAGTTATTGTCATATAACATCTGGCAGTTGCTCGATTTGATCCCCACAAATTTCTGGTAGCAGGCTTCGATCTATAATATTTGTCAAAATATTTGTTTTCGTTTTCTTTTCACTCTTTTTAATCAAGGAACATCATTTTTATTAGGTTAAATAGACGGAATGAGATCATCTTCGAATCTCACACTCCGGAGTTCATGAACTTAGCAATCTGGACCACTCAAGCTAAATCATGAGGCCGCCTTAGCCCCATCGCTGACTCACCTCACACACAATCTCTCCATCCAACACCCTTATATCTCTCTTTTGAACGATCTGAATTTCTGAGTTCGTAAGCTCCAAAATGTGAGATCCAAAGAGGATCTCAATCCTAGATAAACCACTACGTACCTAGTTTGCTATCAGCTTC